AAAATTGATTCAATTTCCTTAAAAATTAAAAATCGGGGGATTTGTAATCATGGATCCCCAAAAACCAAGGTATAATGAGTTTCAAGCGAATCTAAATGACTTAATTTTTAATAGATTTTTAAAAAAGTCATCCACCATTTTTAGTTTTAAAGATAATGAAATTCTAACACCGGATTCGTAATCAACAATGTTAAGAACCCCCGAATAACGAAGTTTAATCAATTTTTGTTTATTTGGGGAAGTTTTTAAAAAAAATTTATTCTTGGAGTGAAATTTTGTTATTTTTTTAAAGAAAATTATGACTTTTTGAAATAGGTGTGACCCTTGTGTCACGCTGTCTTAAGGGGTTAAAAATTGGCAGATTTGTCTAAAATCTAAAAAACACTCAGGAAGTTTTTAAAGTTATGGAATTCGAATTTAATGTAAATTGTAAATCAGAAAAGTAGCGTTCTACATACATACATAATATTTTCTATTGGCATTTTTGGAATTCTTACTACCCGAAACGAAAAACTAAACACGAATTTACAAATTCTAAGCAATGTACAGACAAAACTCTGATTTTATTTATATAGATTGTAATTCCTGTGACAAAATAAATAAGAATAAGTGTTTAAATTTTTGTTGAATAAAAAGTATTGAAATTTTGAATAATTTAATTTAGAAAGGGCATAGGGGCCCCCGTAACAATTCCTGTAAATATACATAGCAAATTAATTGTTGAAAATATTAAAGTTTTTCTTTTATAGATAAAATTGACTATGTTGCTCCAATTGATTAGTTTTATTTGTTTCCTGATTTTTTTAATAAATATACACACTAATATAATTCATAATAAAATTACACTGTTTAAAAAAATAATAATTTGCATATTTTAATACTAAATATATTCAGTTTGATTAAAATATAAATCTGTAGTTGATGGTTATTTAGGTTAATATTTTCAAATCAATGCAGGTAAATACAAAAAACAAAGGAAAAACTCGCACATTTTAAGGAAAATTATCAATTATTTAATAAAAACAAAGCTTCGGAGATGAAATTAAACTTTTACTCGGGCCAACTAGTAAAATTTGATTATTTATAAAAGCAATAATTAGTCGAGAAATCAAAAATGTCATTTTCAGAAGAAACACCCATATTCTTTAAAAAATAAATAATTTTCATCAAACAACAAGAAAATGTCTTAAATCAACAAGAGCAACAAACCAGAAATGACAAAATTACATGCTATTTTATGCATTAACTTAAAAAGTGGTGTTTAGCTCCAAAATAAAATTTTTGGGGGTGTTTAAGATCTTTTTTAACCTTCAGAGGGTCGGGATGGCCAGTATAGTGGCCACCATTTATTATGACGAATCTTTTTATCGAATTGACTTCTTATTTATAAATTTTTTTAAATAAAAAACTACTAAAATCTGTGAAAACTTACCAGCTCTCTAAAGGTTAACATTTAAAAGACATTGTCAAAAAATACTTTAAAGAATAAAAGCTCAGGAAACGAACTTTCAAAAATTAACTATGTTTTGGGGCAAAATTTCTCAAGTGTACTCGCCTTTCATAGAAGTAGTTTGGGTTGCAGTTTCACAGGGCACAGTGGTTGGAGAGGCTATATTTTATGCGAAAAATTAGAAAGACTGCACCGATTGCAACGAAACCTTAGGATATATTTAATTTTGTCGTACTAAATGCGAATGTATCATAAAATTTAAAATTAGACAGTTGACAGACGTCAAAGTGACTGTCAATTTTATCAAAAATGAGTGTTTCTGCACAAAGATAACACCATTTTAAAACTCACGGATAACAAATTTTATGTCAAATTAAAAATTTGCCAGTTGACAGCTGTCAAAGTGATTGCCAACTTTACCAAAAATGAATAAATCTTCACAAAAACTTCATCTATTAGATTTTTAGACCCGTTGATCTTGAATTTCACGTAAAAGTTATAATTAGACAGTTAACAGCTGTCAATTTTATTCAAACAAAATTTTATTTAACAATATACTTAAATTGACAGAATTCATTTTTAAAAAAGTTATAAACAAAAGTAAAAAGGTGGGTCGATTTTGACTATGTTCCTCTAATAATACCAAAGGATTATGCAAACAAATTTTTGTTATAATATTGAAAATTATATCAGATTTTCAAAATTAAAGATAGCAGACCCAATATGGCTACTAAAGTTTTTAAAAATTGGCATATTAGTCTAAAATATTTACTAGGGAAGTTCCTGAAGTTACGGAATTCGAATTTAATGTGATGAAATTGTAAATTGTAAAGTTGCTTTCTATCTCTTTCTTTTTTTTAATCACTGAACCGTATTATAACACTTCTAATTATAGTTATGTAGTTTACAAACAATTTTGCATTTTTTAAGTCTGACAGCAGATTTTCATCCATTTTCAAAATTTTGATCGCCGTATTTTAAAATTCTTTTGAAATTTTGAATTTCTTAAATCTGACTTCCATGTCAGATGATTAAATTTTAAAAAGAAAATGTTTTAAAGTAACAAGGGGAACGAACCAGAAATTACAAAATTACATATTTTATGCATTAACTTAAACGATTTTTAGCTCTAATATAAAAGTTTAGGGGTGTTTAAGCTCTTTTTTAACATTAAAAAATCATTTTCGCATTAAAAAACATTGTCAAAAAATACTTTAAAGAAAAATAGCTCAGTAAACGAACTTTTAAAAATCCACTGTTTTTGGGGCAAAATTTCGCAAGTGTACTCGCCTTTCACAGAAGTAGTTTGGGTTGCAGTTCCACGGGGGTGAAAAATAGGTATTAAATAATTTGAAGTAAAGTTTATTAAGGCATATGGAAATTTTTAAGTGAAAAAAGAAATATGTATTGTTTTTGTAATTTTTATGTAATACCTACTTGACGAAAAATTTTGAATATAAATTATTTCAATTTAAAATTGAAAGGGCAGTAATATCTACTTCTGATGCTAATTTCATAATTGAAATTTGACGTTTTTATTACCATTCAATATTATTATTGTAAAAGTTAAAAAAACCCATTTGATATTAATATTGCCCATGTGAAAAAAGTTCCCAGGAAAGCACTCCTAGGAAATTCCGTTAAAAATTTCATTAATTTATCGTAAAAATTAAATTTGTTAACATAAGGTAAACATGTTACAGTATGTTACAATATAAGGTAAACCGTTTCAGAGTTCATAAAATTTTATTACATTTTGATTGCATAATATACCATATATCAATAATTTAATATTGATGATGATCTTTTAATTTTTATTAGAGGTTAAAAATTATAACTTAATGTTCAGATGACATCTTAGAACATATTTGATAACTTCTTTCTGAATAAATTTTACAGAGGGTTTTTACAGTATTGCAAAAAAATTCTTTTGAAGCATTGTCTGAGAAGGTAAATTTTCAAGTACTCTTGAATACTCTTTGACGAAGTTAAACAAAAATATTCTGAATATCAGATTAACACCGATAAATGACATTTCTGATTTCCGAACGTTCTTAAAATGATCTACTATCTGATTTTGACTCCTTTGCTATGCAGCCCGTGTTACATCTATGAAAGGCGAGTAGTATAGTATTTAAGGTTGATTCAACACTGAAAGTAAAATTTAATCACTTATAGTTCAATTAATGATTCGACTCTTGCTTTCACACATCCCCTACTATTGAAATTTGTTAAAAATACCGGTTTTCTAAAATAAAACAACGTTAAACTGAACCTTAAACCCTTTAAAAATCGCCATGTATGTAAAATTACTCGTGCAAAAATTTCCACATTTGTTCATAATTTCTAAACTGTATATTTTAAAATAATAAATTAATATTATTTTTATTAATAATTATTATTAATTAATCGTCTGGATTTTCCCATGGACTATTTAATTTATTCTACAACTGTATAACATTCACAAATTATTTAAATTCAAGTATTTAATTTTAAATTCCATATCGTAACCTCCACATTTAAAATTAAGCAGTTTACTTAAAGTGAAAAAAAGAAAAATTAATTTAAAAAAAGGAGTTAAATTTTTTTTGGAAAATTTTCTTGTAAGCATCAGAAAGTACATCAAAAATGCTATAATATACGTTTTTTATAAATTAAAATCCATAAAGTTTTGTCCGACTTATAGGGTTTTAAAAATCTCAATGTTATCGGAAACGTAAAAACATTTACCTCCCCTACTTTTTACAATTTTTTAATATTTTAGGAATTTGTTATTCTTATAGAGAACAAAAAATTACCAAAGTTTGGTAATTGGTTTGTACCCCTAAAAGTTTTCAACAAACTATAATACGTTTAAAATATAAAATTAACTTGTTAAAAGTAGTTTATTGAATTTTTACCGACAAAATAGTACTTAGCTATCATTTTTGGATAGTTTATACATCATTTTATCCAATAAAAATAGAAAAAAATTATTATTAGACTACATACAGGTGTAAATTATCATCACTAATGAAAACAAAATAGATGCTCACAACCTACGTCATTTAGTGAAGAACAGAAGGGATAATATCCGTGTTTAAATAGAAGTTTTTAATGTTAAAAAAATGAATGTAATATTAAAGCCTAGATAGTTGTGTACATTATGCTTCTTTACACGTATTTAAAATTGTAAACCAGAAGCAATTCCACGAAACGATTGCATAATACTGTTTTTAAAGTAAATAATAATTAAAGTACATAATTAAATCAAATAATTGATAATTCAAATTTAAACTAAATGCGTCAAAAAATTGGAAATTAGGAAAATGCTCTTAATAAAAAGGGCTATGTAACAAACAATTCTCAGATTAGTTACAATTTAAATACGAAGATCATATAAGCGGGTGACAATGAGAAATCACACTTTTTCTATTTTGGTCCTTACTGCTATCATTCTTGGTAAGCTGAAATTAAATTTTCAATGAATAAACACTCTTTCATGGTATTTCAGTGTGTTTTTTCTTCAAATAAAAGAATTTTCTAGATTTAAAATGAAAAATTTTCTTAGTTGTGAATGCAGGGAAACCGCAGAAGATTGTAAGTGGACGAATTGTGACCTACAATGAATTTCCTTATTTAGTATCACTAAAACATATGAATGAAGAATCATTGGAACATATTTGTGGAGGTGCAATTATTAGCAAATGGCATATTTTAACTGCAGCACATTGTTTGGACAATAAAACTTCTAATGATCTATATGTAGCAGTTGGAACCAATCATCGCGATTTCGGTGGCGATATTTATCCAATTTCCGACTTCGCAGTTTCAAATGAATACGATGATGATGACGAATATTATCTAGGCGATATCGCAATTCTTCTCGTAAGTCGTTTATAACTTTAAGAATTAACTCTTTTTCGATGCCCAGTATCTACGTAGGACATTCATGTCCGTTCAAAGAAAATACTATGGAGACTTTATTTCTGGAGGAAATAAAACCAATAGCAGGATTTCAGTAATCAATTTATTATAAAAATATCGTTTCTTATATGATTTTAATAAACAATTATTTTTTATCACATATAAACAAAAGTATCGGATTTAGATATCTGCTATTTGCAATCGTCACTTTTGTGCATTTGGAATAAAAAATATCGTAGCTACGATATTATTTTGTTTCCATGTTACCTAGGTAACACGGAAAAAATGCACCTTAACTTGCTTACTTGATTGTATCAATATTCAGAAATATTTGTTATTAATATTTTAATGCAATTTTGTAAAAAATGTTATGTCCAGTTGGAGTATCCACTAGAGGTAAAATCTGATTCTTCCTGGAAAATTATTAAATTAGCAAGTGAAAGTTATCCTGTGGGTACTGAAGTTGTTGTTGCCGGATGGGGTGATACTTACTTTAATTCAACCGAAGGATCAGAAGATTTGTTGCACATTCACACACATCTTGCCGACGTTTCAGAATGCGAAAATGGTGCTAAAATTCGAGAAGAATATCATTTATGCACTCTCTCGACTAATGGAATGGATGCTTGTCAAGTGAGTCAATTTTGTTTATCTTAAGATTAACCAGCAAGAATTATACTTTTTACTTTACAAGGAATGTAAGAAATTGTAGCAAAATTTATTTAAAGAATGAAACTCACGCATTCATTTGTCTTTCATAAATTTTTTTCGCTCGCAAGATTCTTGTTCGATGTTCTTCCAGTGCTTTCTCGCTCGAATGCATTAATAATAAATAATCTTTTTCTATGGATAATACCTACATTTTTCTATTGACATAAAGACACATGTTGCATTACCGAAATCTTTAGAACTTCTCTTAATGTGTCTGCTCAAATAACCTCTTGAAGACGTCCTTTAGATATAAGACGTTTTTTGAAGAGACATGCACTTACAAAAGACACTCGATTACCTACATCTTCGTGTCTTCTAAACTGAGATTAAAACTGGTGACGAGTTCTCTCATTACCTGAATGCTGTAATAGATTAGTGATAATTGCTAAAAAAAATTTATTTTACGTTACAGGGTGACAGTGGTGGTCCATTAGTAGCTAACGGAGAACTAATTGGACTAGTATCACATGGAGAGGAATGTGGCATATATCCTGGAGTGTATACTAACGTGTTTAAATACAAAAGTTCTATTGAAGAAACAATTGCATTAAAAACGTGATATACTGAAAGATATTGACAAATGATTAATTATATATAAAAACTTAATTGATTAATAAAAAATAATATAATTTATTATTTTTTAATTTAATTCATCTTTTGGCTTTGCGTGAAAAGAAGCTTGACTCGCAGCTCTTTTAGTTAATTCACTGCTTCCTTTTCAGAATCCGCCATATTAGTTCCGCCAGTTTGAACTTTGAAAATCTGACATCAGATACGAAATCGACGACTCCGTCAATTCCTAATTACAAAGCTTCATAAATATCTGCCAAATTAAAAATTTTGGTCCGCTACATTGGATCCGCCATTATGAATTTTGTAAATCTGACATCAGATTAGTAATAACGACACACAGAGAAAAACTGAACTCAAAATTAGTCGAAAAAGTGACTCATTATGAGCTGCAACAAAAATGAACCTCGCAGATGGTGCCACGTTCTATGTCATTTAACATGGACTCATTTTGAGTTGCAACAAAAATGAGTCCAAGTTTTTTCTGTGGCATATCAAATAATAATTAAGAATTTATAGAATTATGTTTTATACATTACTTCGAGGATTTCAAGGTCACTAATTACAAATCTTAGATCATACAGTTTAAGAAAATGTTGCGCCTGTTTGCGAGTTTTTCTATTTAACTTAACCCGGGGAGCGTAAGGTTAAAAATTGTAACACACAGCGTAAGGATGAATGGAATCCACCTAGTAATAATTTGCTATTTAATTAATAAAAATTCTTGGGATCATTAAAGTTTTTTTATCATAATTGCTTTATATATACCAACAATATAATTTATCTATGTTTAGAAATTTTTTTTGTTATAACAATTTGCTATTGTTAATTATAAACATTCTAAAATATAGAGTAGAACGGGGTGAAATAGCCACATTTTTACATTTTAATTTATAAAATCTGAATTTAAAATTTTTTTCTCAAATTTCCAATTGGCATTGAAAGTTTAGTTATTAAGCTTGAATATTCTTGACGGAAATATTTTTTATCCCATGAAAGAACTAAGTTATAAGAGTTTTACGAAACCTCAGCAAATGGCTTTTTTGTACCACCTGGTGGGGAGAGAAAGCCACCTCGCGATTTTAGCAAAATATGTTATTAATTTTGATATTTTTATAGATTTCCTTTATTTACATGACAAATAATCTTATTTTTAAAATATTTTAATAAATTTTAAAGAGCTTTTATCAAGGAAATTTGAATATTATGTTAAGTTTACCTGTTTTCAATTTACACTGCCAAGTTTTTGTACCTTTTTTTAAAGTCTTCCTTAAATTTCACCACAGATGCCATATTTTGTTGCAACCGTTTTTTCGTTGTTTATTTTTAACGCACTTTATACCATCTTTTCGTCGTGTTTAATTAATTTTATTAAGTAAGCACGCGAAAATTTTGTAAAATTAGAAGGTTAGTTTAAGTAGAAACCAAATGAATTTCACATAATATTCAATGGCTTTTGTCCCTGGCTTTTTCACCCCCAAAACCAGTTTTTCTAAAAGCTAAAATAAATTTTAAATTCAGTTCAATTTCCAAAAATTAACATTGTATACGTTTTGAGTATAGTTTTCTCCTTATGTACAAACATTTATTTTTATTACCCGTTCACTTAAACAGGTTGTAATATGTTCGAAAAGTTCATCGAAATATTATACCAATCTCAACCCTCAACATTCTCCCTTTCAAAGATTCCTGTTGCAACTTGTTCAGGGTACCTCACTGAATATTTTTTAACAAGAAAAATCAAAATCCGTCGGGCGCTTTTTTAATATCAATTTTTGTGTTTTTAGCGCCAAATTGAAAAAAAACAGGTTTTTGTGATCATTTAAAGAAACAAGTTGTAAATCCAGATGTTCATTACATGAACATTTTGCTTCCTCTTTACGATCAGCAAAAAAAATTTGCTTCCTCGTGGAGGAAGCATTAACAATAAGAATATTTAATTTTTAAATAACTTTTAATACAATTTAACATTTATAAAATAAAGTGCATTCGTCTTAATAGAAAGAATAAAATTTTCTTAAACAGTAATATGAATCTAAATAAATAAAAAAAATTTTAGTAAAAAAGTGAATTTTTCAAATTTGATTGTAATTAATTCTATATTTTTCAATAGATTATATACTTTATATACATCAATCGATTCGTCTTGATGCAAAGAATAAGATTTTTGATTTATTTTTCAATAAATAATAACATTTTATTGTACAGCAACATGATTTTTAAGAAAAAATGAATTTCTATTAAAAGTGCAAATTTTTTGTCTATAATTGGTTTTAATTCTATAAATTTAAATACAATATATACTTTATATATACCAATCGATCCGTCTTGTTGCAAAGAATAAGATTTTAGAAATAAATGAGTAAGATTTTCTTATACGGCAACATAATTTTGCGGAAAGCACTCATTTTTTGATAAAAACGCGAATTTTTCAGCTTTAATTGTGATTAACTCTGCAAATTCTCATACAATTTATACTTTTTATATACCAATCGATTCGTCTTGATGCAAAGAATAAGATTTTATTATTTATTAACGTCAATAACCAACTTAAAAAAAATTTTTTGAAAAAAAATTTTTTTTAGAAAAAAGTCAAAAAAAAATTTTTTTTTGAGAATTTTTTAAAGTCTATCAATCCATTTCGAGATATTTTTAGGATAAACATACCTGGTAAATTTTAGCCAAATTCGTTAAAACCTCTTTGAGTTATCGTGTTCACAAAAATCGGGATCCACACACACACACACACACACACATACACACACACATACATACATCCGGACAATTGTTCAGGGTCTTATATAACATAGTCCCATATAGAAGAAAATTTGTTAAAAGGATTTTTAAAAATTTTGTAAATTAAACGACTACAAAGCTTCCTCACGAGGAAGCATAATTCAACTTCAACTGGTCAAAATTTGTTTAACAAATTATACAAAACCATAGTTCTGGTAGAAAATTTTCCGCAGAATCAGAATCTGACGTTGGCTTTCGAAATTAAATCAGCGGAATCCCAGAAAATCCGGAAAACTGTAAATATTCTAAAAAAAATCTCACCTTCGTTTTTTTCAAATTGTCTGTCAAATTTTATAAAAATAAGGGCAATTTCAAAATTTACAAAAATTTCCCAATAAGTAACAGTTACGTTTTTAAATTTGCAAAACAAATTATTATAAAATGAACATCTTTTTGTCAGTAATTAAAATTTTGAATTTAAAAGTTAAGAAAATCTAGGGTCTTTTTACAACGTTTTTACTGATTTTTAATTTTCTAATTTAAATTTTCTTTCAGTTATTAAATAAGAGAAAAGAAAACTATGAAGAGAAACTCCTAAGATCTGTGTGTGACTACAACAGTAATCACATGTAATCGTTTAATCTTGATATTTTTAAATGATGTTATTATTAAAACTATAATTTAAATACTAATTTCGGAAATTGTGAAACTGTTTATTATTAAAAGTTGTAATAAAAATCGAATAACAGAATTTTTACTATTTATATATTTAATAACTGAGAGAAAACTTAAATCAGAAAATTTAAAATCAGTAGGAACGTTGCAACGTGGGGCAAATAGCACTTTTCAGGGACAAAAATCTAGCGCTCTTACAATTTTTAACGGATTTTGTTAATTTTTTTTTAAATAATCTTGAGTTTCCGCAGTTTACAATACGTCTGCTAATAATTTATTTGAACTAATTGTTTATTTATTTATTTATTAACAATGTAGACGAAAATTATTTTCTAACTTATTTGATAGCCATTTAGTGTCCTAAATTTGAATTGCACTTAAAATTGACATTCAGAGATGTAATTAAATATAAATAATAAGTTTATACTTACTAGAATGGTAATAAAAAATGATAATATTGTTATAAACAAATTATATAAACAAATTATTAGTTTGAGAAATGACTGCACTAGATGTCGACGAAACTGACTACTTAGAAGGTTTTTGAGGTCGCTGATCACGAATCTGAAGCTTGTTTTTAAAAATTCAAAATGGCGGATCCAATATGGCGGACGACATTTTTAAAAAACGATTGAAATCACATGAAATTTGTTACTCAGGGGGTTTTTGTGGCTGTTGATTACGAATTGGTTATTGGATTTTGAAAAGTTAAAAGCGGGTTTTTAATATATTAGAGGATTTTTTTTCAAATTTTTTAAATTTGCATAATAAGGTTTTATGAATTAAATATTTTATAAAACATGTTTTAATTTTAAAAAAATAAATAATCACATGGTATAATTAATTAGTTTTACATAAATTTTTATTTAGTAAATGGTGTAGTATAATCATTCTAGGCACAAACATATTTTTTCGATTTTTTAACAAAAAAATGTAATTGCTTTAATAGAAGTTACTAAAAGAAACTCGAATTAAATGAAACGAATAAGATGTAACTGTCATTAATTATTAAAATTAAAAAAAACTTTTTTTTAGCAATAACAGTTATTAAATGTATTCTTTCAACATTCTTTTCTGTAGACATACCAGATAATAGTCGCGTGACAAAATAGAACTAAGGAATACTTGTTGCAAACTACAAATATACCTATATTTAACAATGTAATATGTATATAACTAGGGATGCAACTGCCCCCTTGCCCCCGGTTCATACGCCACTGAAAAAACGCCAGTGAGATTTTTTAGAGTATTTACAGTTTTCAGGATTTTCTGTAATTCCGCTGCTTTAATTTCGAAAGCCGACGTCAGATTCCGATTCTACGGAAAATTTTCTACCAGAATTATGGTTTTGTGTAATTTCTTGAACAAAATTTGCCCAGTTGAAGTTTAATTTTTCTTTAAATGATCATAAAAACCAGTTTTTTTTAAATTTGGCGCTAAAAACACAAAAATTGAAATTAAAAAAAAACGCCCGACAGATTTTGATTTTTCTTGTCAGAAAATATTCAGTGAGGTACCCCGAAAAAGTTGCAACAGGAATCTTTGAAAGGGAGAATATTTAGGATTGAGATTGGTTCC